TGCTTTCCCAAAAGTTTTTCTCATCCAGGGTGGACTGCAGTTTCGACCTCGCATAGGTCTTATCAACATCCATAGCTGGAGTTAAACCATGACAGTGAAGAATGTGAGCTTGACACGTTAACCACTCGGCCAAATTTCCACAAGTGCCCTTGGGTCACAGGGCAGATGTGAATTTCAAGGAAGGCCAGGTCTTTCGTATATCACATTCTTGGGTGAAATTGTCGATGGAGTAGACGTATTTTTGCTATAACATTCGATTACGTCACTTATTTTTCGTATGTAAGTTAAGTTTCGAGACTGCCAGTAAATCAGTAATATAAAATGTATTCACCCTATTTCGTTTAAGGTGATAAAGGAACGGTAGTAGAATTTTCCCACAATGATATGGATAGAGCTGACTATCAGTCCATTACCTTAAACTAATAGGGTAAATACATCTCATATTACTGATTAACTGTTAGTTTCGAATTTTTAATTACATACGAAAAATAGTAAATAATAGTAGAGGAGACAATGAACTAACCCAAACATATCGAATGCAGTCATAAAATATTGATTGATATTTATATGATCACTAAAATGCTATGTTCGCTAATACGGAAATTTTTAGAAATACATAAGTGGAGCTAGAATATTCAAGATAAACTCGAAGCAAATTTCTTAATAGCTGGTAAGCGCAGAAGCCAGTGAGACACGCATAAAATTAATCATTATCTCACTTTGTGTACGTAGATTTTTAATATAGTCTTTTTGAATCTGAGAAAAAAACAGACTAGGTAAACAGGATACATTCTGAAAAGAATAATCTGAATGAGTTGTAAAAACATATAAAAAACAGATATGAAGAAAGAAGGCGATATCATGTAGTAAAAAATACATACAGGAGAGCTTAGTCTTCCAGGCAAGACTCAACCGAAAAAGATGATCCAACTTTGCTTTCATAACATGTCCCTTCGAAGGGTCCGGCTTGAAGGCCATGCCAACGGACCAGCCTATATCAGAAAGCTCTCGATCCCATGTTACCTAAGAGTAGAGGGGGTTAAGTCATATAAACATGACAGCTATTTAAAATTTTCAAATTTATAGACTTTAAGGTATCAAGATAATAATGATCCTAAGATATAAAGGCAATAGCTTTAATTACTTTAATGGTAAACTTACATTTCCAGCTGTCTTTAAAGAGTCGTTGATCTTTTGACAAACACTGCCTGAGTAACACTTGGCCCAATTATTGACAGACCCGAGTAGTTCAAAATGTTTGGCCTTGTAAGCGATAGAGAAGTTGGCTTTGTTAACTCGCTTTTGCATCGAATCCAAATTGAGATCTACTCCGAGCAAGTAGCCCTGATAGCTAAATGGGAAGAACACCCAAAAACCAAAGCGAGCCTTAAAAATGAATAAACTATTATCAATAGCAGAAATGTATAAATGTGAGAAAAGCTGAGGTAAAAAACAGCGTGTATTAAATTATTTTAATTCTGGAACTTGGAAATCGGTATAATGTAAAGTATGCTTCTTACTCTGTGTAGACACTCCATATATAATATTAATGCTCATTTACATGCTTGAGTTATACAAGTTGGAATCAAAGTTTAACAAAACGGATGCGGACTAAGAGAGGCCAGAGGTGGACAGAAAGTGGAGAGTGGAAGAAATCTTCGATGAAATCAGAACTGAATCTTTATCAACAAGAAGGATTATTTGAGCTATCGC